GGGTCTTCCTATTTTTCTCTGTCCTTCCACTTTACCAAGCATGATGTCCTTCTCCAAGGACTGGTCCCTCCTGATAATTTGTCCCAAGTATGAGAGACAAAGTCTGGCCATCTTGCCTTCTAAGGAACTTTCTGGTTTACTTATTCCAACACAGAATCATTTGTTCTTCTGGAAGTGCATGATACCTTTAGTATTCTTCTCCAACACCATAACTAAAGTGCATCAATTCTATAATTTTTTGTTCATTATCCAATTTTCACATTCATATGAGGCTACTGAAAATACCATGACTTGGGCCATGGCTAAAGAAGACAAAGCCAAGTATTATATTGAAATTTGCAAAGACTTGGAGTTAGAAAAACAAAAGAGATGAATACACTCAGCATTTCTCAAGCTGAAAGAAATGAAGAAAGAAAAATTGAAGCCTTTCCTTGCAATATTGAAGGATTCTATGGGCAAAATATTGAATGATGCAGAAAGCATCAAAAGAAGATGGAAGGAATGCAAAAAGTCACTGTTGCATAAAGAAATGGAAGATGTTTAACTGTTTCAAAAGATAGCATATGATCAAGAGCCAATGGTACTGAAGGAAGAAATTCAAGGTGCACTGAAAACATTGGCAAAGAACAAGGCTCTGGGAATTGATGGAATACAATGGAAATCTTTTTAAAAACTGATGCAATATTCACTCATCTATTCCAAGAAATTTGGAAGATAACTACTTGGCCTACTGAATGGAAGAGATCCATATTTGTGTCCATTCCAAAGAAAGGTGACACAACATAATGCATAAATCATCAGAAAATATCATTAATATCACATGCAAATACATTTTGCTCAAGATTATTCAAAGATAGCTACAACAGTACATTGACAGGAAACTGCCAGAAGCTCAAGCTGGATTTAGACAAGGATGTGGAATGAGGGATATCACTAATGATGTCAGATGAATCTTGACTGAAAGCAGAGAAAACCAGAAAGATGTTTACCAGTGCTTTATTGACTATGCAAGGGCTTTTGATGGTGTGGATCATTATAAACTATGGACAACATTGTGGAGAATGAGTATTCCAGAACTTAACTGTGCTCACGAGGAGCCTATTCAAGAGGCAGTTGTTCAAATAGAACTAGCAGATACTGAATCGTTTAAAATTAGGAAAGGCGTGTGCCAGGGTTGTATGCTTTTACTATACTTATTCAATCTATACGCTGAGCAAATATTCCGAGAAACTGGATTAGATGAAGAAAACGCAGCATCAGGATTGGAGGAAGACTCCTTAACAACGTGTGATATGCAGATGATACAACTTTGCTTGCTTACTTATTGATGAAGATTAAAGCCCAAAGCCTTCAGTATGGGTTGCACCTCATTGTAAAGAAAGGAAAAATCCTTAACACTGGTCCAATAAATAACATCATGATAGATGGAAAAAAGATCGAAGTTGTCAAAGACTTCATTTAGCTTAGATCCACTATTAACATTCATGGAAGCAGTAGTCAAGAAATCAAACAACATATTGCATTAGGCAATCTGCTACACAAGACCTCTTGGAATTGTTGAAGAACTAAGATGTCAGTTTGAAGACTAAGGTATGGTTGACCCAAGCTATGGTATCTTCAATAGCTTCATATGCATGAAAGTTGTACAACTAGTAGAGAAGAGTCAAAACCGACTCTATGGCACTTAACAAGAACAACATCATTGGGCAACAAGCAGTAGGAGTCACTAGTGGGATGTTTTCAGGTACTGAGAGGAAATTCAGCTGGGAAGCAGAACACAGATTCTGACAAGGAGGGAAAACTGTAATCTCTTCAGAATGATGATCAGTATCAACGATATCTATGAATGGGGGTGCACATTTGGAGACTACGTTGACAGGAAATTATGTTAGATGCAGCTCAGACTGTGATGAGTTTTTAAGATGGTATCTGACCTCTGACTTCATAAGGAGAAAGGAGAATCAAACTCAACATCAGCCCTGGGCTGATTTCTGTAAGGGAGAGGTCAGATATGCGTCCACTTTCCAAACTTCTTTACCAATTCTGACACCAACTGTCCTTCCACTGGCAGTCTACTCTGCTGGATTTGATAATTCATTGCGGTGGCCACCTAGAATTCACAGACCATACTCATGATTGTGGCATTTATTAGGGACATTGTTGTTGTTGTCAGGTGCCATTGAGTCGGAACCAACTCATAGCAACCCCATGCACAGCAGAAGGAAACAGTGTCCGATCCTGGGCCAACCTCACTACCGCCGCCACACTTGACGCCATCAATGATGTCACCTGGCTGATCCATCTCGTTGGGGGTCTTCCTCTTTTTCTCTGATGCTCCATCTTACCCGGCATGACATCCTTCTCCAGCGACTGTTCTCTCCGGACAATGTGTCCAAAGTATGAGAGACGAAGCCTAGCCATCTTGGCCTCCAAGGAGCACTCTGGTTGCACTTCTTCCAAAACAGATCTGTTGGTTCTTTTGGCAGTCCATGGCACTTTCAGTATTCTCCTCCAACACCACAACTCAAAGGCATCAATTCTTCTACCATCTTCCTTATTCACTGTCCAGCTTTCGCATGCATATGAGGTTATTGAAAATACCAAGGCCTGGGTCAGGTGCACCTTAGTCCTCAAGCTGACATCTCTGCTCTTCAATACTTTAAAAAGTTCCTGTGCAGCAGATTTGCCCAATGCAATACATCGTCTGATCTCTTGACTGCTGCTTCCACAAGTGTTGATAGTTGATCCAAGAAGAATGAAGTCCTTGACATTAACAGGTGATAGATAATTCCAGATCAGAAATGCTTAGGATACTTACAGTCTGAGGGCCTCTCCTCAGCCATGCCAACAGGCAGATCTTTCTCTCTAGTCTTTGGCCTCTTAGCCACACAACACCTTAGCCTCTGACCTACCTCATCAATGCTACAAAGTTCTTTTAGCACTGCTGATAAATGCCCAAAGGGCACTCCATCTGACTTGAGACTCAGTCCAGAGGTGCTCAGAGCTAGCCCTGTGGGTCAGCCAACCTAACTCTCGTAACCCCATTCTGCAAGCAAGCCTCCTGCCTAAAGGCACTCAATTTTATCCACTCAGTGGATCAGAAAGCCCACCGTTCTATATGTCTTGTGGTTTTGGTTTTGCTGTCATTGTTCTTCTGCCATTTCTTTAATGCATAGCTCTCTGTCTTCTGGATCAAGAAGGTTCAATATGCAGGGATCTTGGGTCTAAAAGGGTGCACACCACTCCTGACTCTTCTGCTTTTGAGATGGCTCATTTTAAACTCAGCTGGGTGTCAGATCTGACCAATCCCCACGTTAGAGCTCCCATATACATTATTAGTATGATCCCACCAAGTCATTTGGTGGGCGTTGCAAAGTCTATGACTAAAAGAGCCATATCAAGAAATTCACTGCACCACGCAGCCACTGAAAGAGACTAGATATTGGACAGACTGCTATGGATAAGTGTTTTGTGACAGTAACTAAGGAAGGCACTGATGATCTGGGGTGGAGTGGGTAGAAGATAACAAGTTGCCCCTTCTCTAACAATTCACTTAACTTTATAGGCTATGGGCTACTTCCCAGTGGATGTGCACCAATAGTGACCAATCCAGCACCAACCCAGACTCCAGATAGCCACACAGCCTCCTTTTTGTGAGGCACATATTTATTGAGGACACATTCTTTTAAGGTAGGAGAGGATCATTGAGTCTCTTAATGTGATTTTTGGCCTAAAATTGTGCATCCTTTGTATCCTCACATTACACACACTATACTTATTTGTAGCCTATTCTCAACCCTACTATGTAAGAAGTAGTCCTTCACATCTAGCATTCACTTCATGTTGTTGTTGTTAAGTGCTGCTGAGTCGATTCTGACACATAACAACCCTGTACAGGGTTTCCAAGGAGAAGCTACTGGGTTTGAACATATGACCTTTTGTTTCACAGTCCAATGTTTATCTCACAGCACCACAAAGGCACTTGACATATACTACACAGTTCACTCCTTCCATAATCTTGAAAACTGGGATTACAAAAGAGAATGATAAGATTTCGAGAGACTGACTTTTCAAACACACACACAGAATGCACCTGACTTCAAAGCTGGTGTTCTTTCAAGTACACCTCAGCTTACTCTGCAGCCACACAGACTAAGCCTGAGCGTTATGAAATGGTTCCAGTTTGTGTCGGAGAAATACTGCCTTAAGAAAATTGATGGTGGAGAAAAGTTAGATGTGGCTGCAGTTTGAATTGTTTTTGATTCAACTAGTATTTTTTGAATAACCAGGCATCCCTCTGTGCTAATCAGTGTGAATGTCATTGAGCACAAGTGTGAAACTGCAATGTTATGACATACCTAGAAAAAAAAAATAAAAAGACAGAAATCAGTGCAATTTATTCAGGGGATAAAAAGTGAGCAAGAGGGGCATGTCCTATAGAAGAATAGACAGAGCAAAGAACAACTCTTGTGAGCCAGGCAGGTGGTTCTGTCCAGAGAGGCTCAGGGAGAGGGCAGAGCATTATGGAGGAATTAGAACTTGAGTTGGGCCTTGTTTCCATTTAGTTTATGAAAGAGAAACCAGAAATTTATCCTTGAAAAATATTTACTCCAACAGAAGTTTTTCTTAATTGTTTGGTCTTCCTATGACTGTGTTAGGAATCAGGATGGCTGGGGTAGAGAAAAATCTGGTGTCTGCGTAAGTAACACCGCATTGTGTCAGTAAGGCTAAGGAAAAGCCCTTGGGTTCCCATATCAGATTGGGGAAACATGTAATAAATAGTGAAACAAAGGTCCATGCTAGTTGGGTTGAAATGAGACAGTGAAACCCACTAAAGGCCTGGGAACCTCCCTTTCCTGAAATTATTTCTCAGCCGCGAGATGAAAAACCCCAAGCCTTAGTCCACCCGTCTGCATTTGAAGAACAAAGCGGCAAAGAAGCAGAAGCATTTGGGATCCTTCAAGGAGCCCTGGAGTAGGAGAACCATAAATACATTTAGCATGGTTCTGAACCAGTTTCTCAAGCACAGGATTACGCAGTACTATGGACTGCTGTCCCTGCTGACTGCGGGCGGGGAGTACGTCTTCTGGGTGGGGGTGTTCTCCTGCCCCTGCAGCAACACCTGGAACCAACTTTATGGCTTCGTCTTCCTTCTGGTCCCGGCGCTGGCGCTCATCCTGCTGGGATTTGTGCTGAGCTTGAGTTAAGTGTCCCCTGCTCACTCGTGGCTACACCTGCAAGTGTTGCAGCAGGGGGCTGAGCTGTTGTTTCCTGGTGTGCTCACACTTGGGCACCTCCGGAGCTTGGACAGCGACAGCGCTGCTTGAAGGAACCTTCTTCGAATGCGCTGCTAGCGGGACCGCGTTCATCAAAGAGCGCCTGTGCGGGGACCTCGACCCCAACTGCAAGGCCCAGCTACCGCTAGTGCCCTGAGGTCTGGTCAAGCCGTTGGAAGTGCAGGAACTTCTCCTAAAGCTGAGGGCTCTGTCTCAGGTTGGCGTCCATTGGAAAGAGGGAGGGAGAGGGGAAGGGGCAAGGGTCTGTGAGGTGGGGAGTCTCACTTTTTCAGACCAGAAAGAGGATCTCTCCTCTCCAGACTTCTTGTTATTAAGTGCCACAAAGTCGGTTTTCAATCAGCAACTATGTATAGGATTTCCGAGGAGTAGCTGGTGGGTTTGAACCTCCCGCCTTGGGGTTAGAATCTAGTGCTGACCCTATAGCACAACACCAAGACTTCCTCTCCAGACAAATGTACACTCACTAATACAACTAGGAAGACTTCTATTTTACAGGCGAATATCGAAATAAAACCAACTCTAAAAATGTAGTGGGAACATATACTCTGGGCTAGACACTGTGCTGGGCACATCACCTTGCACATTATTGTCTTACTTCTCAAAACTACCCTATGGAGTTATTCCTATCTCCATTAGATGATAGCAAACACATGGAGCCAAGAGAAACTTTCTTCGGCCAGGAGAAAGTCAAAGAATTGTTTCGACAAAATGTGTCTCCCTTTCTGGAAAGCCATAACCCATGCTTCCCAGCTTTAAGTAAAGCCCAGAGGATCTTTGAATTGAATTTTCCTTTCATGGAAGATGCAGACGATCCACGTGATTTGAGTGTTATGGAAGTAACAGACTACTTTCTGAATCTTGACATGACTTGGAATGTGGTGATTCCTTTCCCTTAAGGAATGTAAGTCCTAAAACTGTTGTATGCTCACTCTCCTGTCAGGTTTTTTTATGATAAAATGTGACTGACTTGTTATTTTGCTCTGTTTTTCTAAGGTGCTGGGCTGTTTCCTGATGTTGTTGTTGTTAAGTGCTGTCGAGTTGGTTCTGACCCATAGCGACCCTGTACAGGGGTTCCGAGGGTGTAAATCTTTACAGGAGTAGAAAGCCTCATCTTTCTCCTGTGGAGCGGCTGGTAGTTTCGAACCGCTGACCTTAAGGTTCGCAGCCCGATTCGTAACCACTACGCTACCAGAACTCCTAGCTGGGGTTCTTCTCGTCGTTCTGATTTTTGCATCTGTTTCCCAATACCTATGTCCAGTTAGATTTCTGCAGCTGAAATTCAGGGAAATCTATGTGGAGCAGGAGCAGAGTTGTTTGAAACTGAAGCTACAGATCATGCAATCAAATTGGCAAATGAGAATGTTAAATGTTTCTTTGAAGACTCAAGTCCAAAGGAAATCAACACTCCCATCAGTAAAGCCTGGAAGCAAATTTTATCACTCTATACTTTCAATCTATGCATGTTGCACAAGTGTGCTAACAGAAATGAGAAGAGTCACAGCAGCTCTGCAAGACAATCCCTTATTTCTGGTGATTATTGTGTAGATACCCAGGTATAAACACCAGTGCTGACTTAGGACCTTAAAAATTAATAGAAAAAAATTCCTCTGGATTATTTTTTCATTTTTTATTTGCTTAACGAAACATTAGTATTGCTTGGGGGCGGTTATGTGCCATGGGGTTGGTTCTGACTGATAGTGACCTTGAATAAGTTTTCTGAGATTGTAAATCTTTGTGTGAGCAGAAAGTCCCATCTTTCTCCTGCGAAGTGGTTGATATATGTGAACTACTGACCCTGTGGTTAGCAGCCCACAAGGCTACCAGAACTTCTTTTAGTATTGATTATGACTGCTTTTTGTTCCCGTCCACATTGTGAAAATATAGTATGTATATCAGAAATAAAAATTTAGAAATGAGCCTCCTTGTTATATTCATTTAGTTAAAAGGTGAAGTTAAACCATTCACTCAAAGTGACAGACTGGAACTGGAAGTAGGTCTTAAATTACTAGATCTTAAGTTAACTAGATCTTAAGATACTGAATCTAGTGCTTATTCCACTAAATAGCAATGCTGTTTTCAAATAAAAGACAGTAGCAAAAACAGTGAAAGGAAATTCACCTTCAAAACTTCTATTAGGTTGTTAAGTGTCATTGAGTCAGTTCTGACTCATAAAGAGCCTTTATAGGGTTACCAAAGCATTTAAAAATCTTTTCAGGAGCAGAAAGCCTCATCTTTCTCCTGCGGAGCAACTGTCAGTCTTGAATCCTGGGCCTTGTGGTTTGAAGTCCAGTGTTTATTGTATGGAGTGGTTACGAATCGGGCTGCTAGCCAAGGTCAGCAGTTCGATACTACCAGCCGTTCCTCGGGGAAAGATGAGGCTTCCTGCTCCAGTAACGATTTACAGCCTCGGAAACCCTATACGGGGTCGCTATGAGTCGGAACCGATTCCACAGCACACCACCACCACTGTGCTCCCCCTATTAGGATATCTGTTATTAATTTCAAATTCACTTTCTTAGAGATAGCACCTTGCTGGCAACCCAAAGACAGTGGCATTTTGTGGCTCTAAAGGAGCTCTGGTAGCGTAGTGGTTACGAATCGGGCTGCAAACCTCAGGGACAGCAGTTTGAAACTACCAGCTGTTCCTTGGGAGAAAGATGAGGCTTTCTGTTCCCGTAAAGATTTGCAGCCTCGGAAACCCTGTGTAGGGTCACTATTAGTCGGAACCGACTTCACGGTACTTAACAACAACAACAACAATGTGGTTGTTAAACAAAAATATAAAAATTCAGCATAAAAATTAATACTCTTAAATACAAAAATTGAAAAAGTGTTTTAGGATAATTGCAGGTAATTGCTTGTTTTTCATTTGTGGGACTGGAGAAAATATTTTAAAGCTATTTGTTATGGTCAACTTGAAATACGCACAAAAGTGGGGAGTATAGTATTAAGAACCCCTCCATAGTCATCACAACAATTTCAACATAATGGGAGTGTCAAACACAACCTACACCATGCAAAGAAATAGAGAAATACGAATTGTGACATAATTCCGCTTAGAGTAGAGAGGAGTTGAGAAAATCTCTGAGAAACTGAAATCTGTAGACCAGGGAGAAGAGCATTTCTGTCAGAAAGGACAACATAATAGGAAGACTCAGAGGTGAGAGAGATCTTACATAACATAGTTGGAAGCCTTAAAGGCTACAGGAAAGTGAGATGGAACAGGTCTTGCAGGGTATTCAAAGTCATATGAGAGACTTTGGTTTTCCTCCTCTGAGCATTGTTAGAAAAATTGATTGACTTTTTTTTGTGGAAAAAATGACTGTCCAGGGGAAGGACAAGGGCAGGGTGGAATTGGGGAGCTTACTCGTGAGGCCACTGCAGTAGAAATAAGGGGGTGATGAGCTTTAATTAGTAATGAATTTGGGAAAAGTGGATAGATTCAAGATAGATTTTGTATGTAGACATGACAGGCTTTGTTGACAGAAAACATAAGTTCTGTTACTTGATAATGCCAAGAATTTTCAGGGGATACTTGACATTTATTAGGTTGTCATTCCTGTGCATCCCACAGATTTGTGGCTGTTTTCTGAGTTATAAAAATGATACTAAAAAGAAAAACTTAAAACTGCAAAACAATTGAACACCGGTGATTATTAGCTCTTCCTCTCTTAGCAAACTCTGTTGGTTTCTGTTTTCCTTTCCTTGCATAAGGCCATTAAAAACTAGTCTGCTGGACTGACTATCCTGTTGTTGGGCATCACATACAACAAAAAGTTGGCAGAAACGGCATGATCAGTCTTTTTCTATTCTCTAAAAAACAATTTTGAAAGTTGTATCATAACTACTTTCAGTTTTGCATCCTTAATGTCATTTTCTAATTTTGTATATTCTTTTGTACATTATTCCCTTTCAATATATTTTTTTGGTCTACCATTTATAGTTACATCTTCAACAGTATCATCATTTCTTCTTTAAGTTTTTCTTGCAGACTTTCATAATTTTTCAAAAAAAGTTTTGCTTAAGATAAAAACAACTATAATGGTAGTTGTTTATAACTGTGTGAAGCAAAATGAATAATTACTCCATAATTCATTTGTAATATAGTCTTGAAGGTAGCCATCTACTCTTTTACACAAATATATTATTTGTAATTTACATGATGTGGTATTCTTCCATGTCAGTATAAAACAATTTGTTGTGGCTTTTATGTGCTAGCACATCATTTCCAACTCATAGCGACCCTGGATAGGGTTTCCAAGAAGCGACTGCTATATTTGAACTTCCCACCCGTGGTTCAAACTGACCTTGCTGTCCAGTGCTTTATTCTACAGTGCCACACCAAGACTCCTATAACAATTTACCTCATTAAAAAGTACTGCATAACATTCTACTGATTAATAGGATATGATCTCATTTTGGTTTTTAACACATATATGTGGGGACTGTCCTCGACATAGTTGTGCTGTTCACGAGTGTTTGGTTCATGAGGGGGGATATCCAGCAGCGATAGGGATAGCAAAAGAATGCACAGACAGAAGAAGGGGGACAATGAGGCACCCCGAAACCAGGGTGGATGCATCACTGGTGGGCAGACTTGGGACTACAGGCATCGTGGCCTCTGCAGGCAGCAATTCACTGACCTGCAATCTTTACTGCATGCCCTCCAACCCATAATGCCAACCTGGGCCGACCTGGGCCTCTGTTTTATTTAGGGGAGGAGCTTCACACCAAGCTGGGAGGGACTAAGACAAGGTACAGCTAACATCAGTAATTTTCCAGACATTCAGGTAATTTTACATCGTACTTCGCTGGTTCGAATCCCAGGCCCGCAACTTGGTTTCTCAGGCTCAATTAACATACCTATAGCCCCTGAGCTCAGTTGGGGCAGGGTGAAAGTGAAGGACAAAAGGCTTGGGCGGAGTCCCGCTGTTTTAGCTTCCTGAGCCAGGTTTTCAGGAGGACGGGTGAATGGGCGGCACCTGGGATAGGTTTAGGGAGGATGGTTTTTTTGTCTGTAGAACAAAGACCCGGGAAGTAGCTAAGCCATTTTAGTTAATCCTTTGGAGAAAGGCTTTACCCTTGAAACCTTTACAGTCTGGGCTTATAGGAAAATATCACATTTATCTGTGGATATCAAGGGCTCCATGTATGAATTTAATAAATATAACTGAACACTAAGATGAAAAACAGTTTGCTATTAACTGCCAAGTGGCTAGATCTGTTACACTCAGGCCTATAGGGCCTGGAACCTCTGACCAGGCCTACACGGTCTGCAACACATATACACACAAATTTAAAAAAAATATGTACGCATGAACACCAAATTGTATAATGTGGCCCTTTCTACAGACCAAGATTGGTGCAGGTGATTTTTTTTCGTTTTTAACTTCATGCACTTTTGATCTTAGAAAGATTTTGTTGTGAATGACAAATATTATCTGAGTAATGATAAAGATAAAAAAGAACCCTAGACTTGTGTAGGATTTTATAATCAGCAAAGGCATTTTGTATCCTTTTTCATTTCATTTTCATGACAATATGTGGGATACCCATGAAACACTCACATTCACAAGTAGAATCAAAGGCACAAAGTCACATGGTCAATGAACTGAAAATAGGGGCCGAGCCTCTGAAAAATATCTGTTTTTGTTATTAACCAGGTTTACCCTTTATTAGCCTATGTGCCTTTGTAAACAAAAATATACAGATGGCATCAATGACTCCCTATATTTTTCACATCATCCTGAAACTTGTCAACTGCTATTAATAAACACTTGAGACCAGGACAAAGCCTAATTCTTTCATTATGGGAGCATGGTCACCACTGTTTGGCAGGACACACCACTTCTCTGAATTTGGCCCCAAACAGACCACATCCTTGGCTCAAGATACATTTCAACACTCAGTTTATATATGCTTACTGACTTACCAAATGATTCTTCATGATTACCCCTGGTTTCATGCTACCCGGAAGCCTTAACCTTAGAATAAACTGAGACAGAATGTCTGGTATTTGATGAAAAAATAGCTAAGTTACTACAAAGACTGACTCCAAATTGTATTGAGCATTGGCAAGATGTTCCAATTTAGAGAGCACAGATGAGACATATGAACAATTTGTCTTTGCTCCATGCAAAACCAAGGCCAGAAATGTCAATGCTCTATGAATTGATTAAAGAAGCATCTGAAAACAGAATTAGCCATGTCTAAAAAAGGAGCTCTGGTAGCGTAGTGGTTACGAATTGGGCTGCGAACCTTAAGGTCAGTGGTTCGAAACTACCAGCCGCTCCACGGGAGAAAGATGAGGCTTTCTACTCCTGTAAAGATTTACACCCTCGGAAACCCTGTACAGGGTCGCTATGGGTCAGAACCGACTCGACAGCACTTAACAACAACAAAAAAAATGTCTTGGGCTGAAAACCTCTTGGAACCTCTAAGTTTCACAACACTCCACTCACAATGACTTCCACTATGACAAAAGATAAAGAACCACTCCCTACCTGAGTTAGCCCCAGATGCACCTGCCACTGGCTTCTTTTGTCAGCAGAAAGCTCCCACCCCAGAACCTACTATGTGCCGCATGTTGTACCTGCCCTGAAAACGCTTCCTTTCACTCCCTACCTATGACACATTTCTTGTGTATTGCAATGTAATGATTGTAGAATTAATTGTATTATAGAAAAATCTGTACAGGATTGCTATGAATCAGAACCAATTCTACAGTACTTAACAGCAATAACAGTCTTATGTAATGGAAAAGACTCGTATTTTTTTAAAAAGGATATTCTGTGACGATTCTACCATAGAACCATAACACTAAATGCTCCAAATGAAATAAAAACCCAAGAAGATAAGAAAATTTATTGTTATTTAATAAATGTGAAATATTAAACATAGATATGCATATTAAAATATTAAATATGAAAAACCAATTTTTTACAGATTAAAGAATAAATTAAAACTCACAGTGTCTGATTGCCCAATAAATGAAGTTAAGTATGGCCTTACTTATGTACTAACTTACTGATCTTTGGTGCACAATTTCACATTTTTAACCACCTTGAGGATTCTGTTACAAGATATGGTTGGCATTAGTTTCTCTCCCAAGCCCAGATCTCCGTCTAACAGAATCAAAGCCTCTTTTAAAATGTACCTAGTCTTTGACTAGGTCGGAGTACTCAGTAACCAAAATAAAGCTTACTTGTGCTTATTTCCTAATCATCAACTTGTTCACAACAGATTAGTACATAATCTCAGTTTACCTTTCTTATTGGATAATTGGCCTCTAAAAAGTAAATATCTATATAACTCAAAAGAAAGAAAAGAAATAGTTAATTTCCACCCCAAAAGTGCCCTATCCTTTGTGTCCCTTCATGATCCCCCCCTCTCTACCTACAAGAAAAGGAAAAATGATTTCCTTATTTTATTAATAAATTTTACAATCCACATGTGCATTCCTAACTAGTTAATGTTCAGTTTTGCCTGTTTTTAAAACTTTATATGGGTAAAAAAAATTTCCTCTAAGAATTAATTTTTGATCTTCCTTTTAATTTGTTCTTGTTTGAGCAATTCATCAAAATTGAATCTAGAGTAATTTGTTAATTGTGGTTGCTGTAAGTAACCTACAAGGCCACACCAGGAGTCCAGTTTAACTGTGTTATTGTTGTTGTGAAGTGCTGTCGAGTCAGTTTCAACCCATAGTGACCCTGTGTGGGGTTTCCAAGAAAAAGTTGGTGAGCTTGAATCACTGACCTGGCAGTTCAAATGGCTTTGCAGCGTGGTGCATTAACCCACAGCACCACACCAGGACTATTGTTGTTGTTGTTAAGTGCTGTCAGTAGGTTCTGACACATAGCAACCCTGCACAGGGTTTCCAAGACTGAGCCTCATCTTCCTCCTGTAAAACTGTTGGTAGTTTCAAACTACTGACCTTGAGGTTAGCAGCCCAATTCATAACCACTAAGCTACCAGAGCTCCTTATACCAGGACTAGGGTTTTCTTTTTCATGGTGTGGGTCTATGATTCTGTTCCTCTCTTGAACTTGGGGGATAAGAAATTTTTATTTTTCACATGAGAAGAGACTGTATCTGATTTTGTTCCCCAATGAAGAAAAGATTATTAATTACAGCAGAGCAAACAGCACGAGCATAATGTTTTCATTGGTTCCACTTGACCCCAAGTCCCAAGGGGGCAACTTGGAAGACTAAGATAAATACCTGCATACACAGTAGGCTGCTTAAAAGAGAAAAAAAACAGCTTGAGGAACTACCATGTTATAGTCAATTGTAATCAAGCCACAATTATTAATTTAGATTATTTATCTAGGGCCCTGGTGGTACAGTGGCTAAGCACTCAGCTGCTAACCTAAAGATTGATGGGTCAAACTCACCAGTTGCTCTGTGGGATAAAGATATGACAATCTGCATCCATAGAGATTTCCAGCCTTGTAAACCTTATGGGGCAATCTACTCTGTTCTATAGGGACATTAGAAGTTGGTATCCTCTCTGTGCGACGTTTTTGTTTTTGTTTTTTAAAATGGTTTGTAATCAAGACTGCTGTTATCCCAAAGGGACACATTACTTCATCTTTCAAAGTTGCTTGCTACAAGCACAATTCTGGGAAATGGTGTGGGTAAAAGCAGTCACAGTTTTGCATCTTGGCATTTTACTGAGATGTATCGGAACCCAAGAGATCCACTGAGGACTATCTCTAAGCATACATTTAAAATGTTTCAAACCCCATTTCAAACTCTGCCATCCTGTGGGAAAAAGATGAGACTTTCTGCTCATCTTTACAGCCTCGGAAACCCTATACAGGGTCGCTATGAGCCAGAACCAACTCCACAATACATACCCATCAAAATATTACAACTGTCATAAAGCAGCAATCAAACTGACAAACATTCATACATTCCATTTTTTAATGTTTTATTAAGAAGAGAAAATTTAAGGTATCACAAAGATTTCTTGAAATTTTAAGACATTATATAGCTATAACAATAAATCATTTACCAGATGCTGCATATATAATCATTCCTACATCTGAAAAGACTATACCTATTAATCAAGTCTTTTCATAAGGCACATTATAGCATAAGAAGAATAATTATATACATGTATTTAATTTCTATTGTATAAATATATACATACATATGTTGTTAAGTGCCGTAGAGTTGGTTCCGACTCACAGCGACCCTGTATAGGGTTTCTGAGGAGCAACTGGTGAGCTTGAACTGCCGACCTTGCAGTTCCAACCAACCTTGCAGTCAAGTGCATTAACCACAGCACCACTCTCTCTCTCTCTCTCTCTCTCTCTCTCTCTCTCTCTCT